CTCTGACGGCACCGCCAGTCAGTCTGTCTTATATAGACAACCTAAATGTAGTGCACTTGGTACTTCTGTCGCATGTCCTTGTTACTGTCTGAGACTACAGCGAGGCACTGAGAGGGATCCAGCCTGTGTGGGTCCTGAGTTACAGTTCCATCCTTTTCCCAGCTGTGTGACTAGGGGCGACTTGTTCTCTCTGCACCCACAGTTTCCTTATGTAAAAATGAGCTAATTCTAGACCCTACCTCATAATGTTATTGTAAGGATTAAGTAAATGAATACTGGCAAAGTGCTTAGAATTGTCTCAGCATCAGTATTTGGTAGATACGTTTTAGTTATCATTATTAATACTATTTTTATTATTATTGTCTATCTTCCTGTATTAGAACATAAGTTCCAGGAAAGCAGAGCCCTTGTCTGTTGTTCACTGGTGTGTCCTCTGCATGTAGAACAGTGCCTGGCACAAAATAGGTGCTGAGTAAGTATTTGTTGGACGAATAAACGAACGAGTGAATGAATGAATGAATGAGTGATGCACTATAAGTAGAAGACTGGGGTGACAGTGGCAAGATGGCGACACAGTTACAGACAATGAAACACAGTTTTATGTTCTAAAGGTCTTTATCAACCCTGTGAGTCACCCAAATTCATTTAACTACCCAATCTTTTGACTACCAACTATAATCAGATAAACTCAATAATTTAACACCAACATGCAATCAGTCAGTTCACAGAATTAAAAGTTTTTGACTAAAAGGTCTGAAAATAACAAAAAAATCTAAAATTTTTTTACTTAATTTTTTTTTTTTTTTTGCGGTACTGGGGATTGAACTCAGGACCTTGTGTTTACCAGGCAAGCGCTTCTTCTACTGAGCTATCTCCTCAGCCTTCTTACTCTTTTTTTTAGATAGGGTCTTGCTATGTTCAGGCTGGCTTGAGTGCACTGCGTCCCCCAGGTGGCTTGAACTTTGCCGTGTCTTTCTGTTTCAGCCTCCTGAGTCCTGGGATTACAGGCATGTTCTACCGTGCCTGACTACTTAAATGATCTGAAGTACTAATAAGAAAATGAAATAAAACCTTTGATTTAAGTGGTTTGAAAATATTTTTTAAAAGAAAGTAAATGTTGAAAAGCTTACTGAAAACTTTATAATTCATCCTATCATTTAACCTAGCTGGCAAAAATCAAAGAAGCTTTCATAAATTTTTGTATTGGTTTATTTTAAACCCATTATTGCAAAAATCTGGTTGACCCTTTAATTCAGCTTGCCAGTTCTCTTCTGTTCCCCTGGTTATCTTCCCCGTGCACTGCTGATGTCCACATTCCCCTCAACTGTAGTATCTCTTCTACCTCTTTCTCCTCTTTGAGCGAAGATACTTTGACTTCTCTCCAGTTTTGCAGTCAGGATAAGTGAATGCATGGATGGATGGATGGGTGAGTTTTATCAGGAAAGTGTTCTGATGTGCAAATTTATTGCCTTTGTTATATTTTAAAGGAGAAAATATTAACTTACATTCTGAAATCCTGATTTCAAATGAAGATATGGCAAGATCCAGAAAAATGGTTTCTATTTGGAAGACAGTTGCTAAATTAAAAAATCATGCAATGATCAGATTTTCAATATATTATCAAGATTTTAATTAAGTTACTCATACTGTAGTTACAGTTGCAACGCAGCCTCTCTCCATTTTCCCTAGCTGAACCACTTACCTCAATTCTAGTGAGCCTCCTTAATTACAAAGGTATCTATCCACAGAAGGTAATAATTTTACTTAAGAATGTTTGAGGTTTTTAATACAAAATAGGAAAAAAAACACTACAGCTCATGAATCATAAATCACATTTAAAAATAAAGTAATATTGGGGCCAGGGAGATGGCTCAGTAGAATAAGTGCTTGCCTGGCAGATGCAAGAGCCTGAGTTCAATCCCCGGTTCTGCCCCCCCAAAATAAAAGTAAAGTAATATAAATAATAGGATCTATATCGAAATTTTAACTTGAAAATGTATTTTCTAACACAGAGAGCTGGTATTTTAATCTATTTTAACAAATAATAAAAATAGAGAAAGTGACTTGTATCCTACCAGTAAAATCCCGATTTTACATGGAGACTCTGGGCCCCAGAGAGATAGCTTCTTGGAGCCTCTGTAGGATGCACCATTGGCTGGGTTACTGATAGGGTTATAGCCACCGCCTCTGTGTAACCTAATCACACAGCCGTGTCATGAGTAGGCCATTAGTACTAAGATGATTAGAAATAAACAGTAAAACAGTTAAACATCTCAAGTATGGAAAATGAAATGATAGTGTAAGACAGGCCAAGCAAAATATAAACAAAAACTTTAGCAACATTACCAGAACATTTCTTATATTGAATAAGATTAGGAAAAATAAAAGGTGCATCTTAATATATCACAAATACTTGCTAGAAGATATAATCATGAGCATGTATGCAGATAACCAATAGCTGGAAAAATATGTAGCAAAAAGAAATTAGAAAGCTGACCAATGTATGATTATGGTGAGAATTTTTTTTTAACAAATTCAGCTTGGGGGGGCCAGGTAAATGGCTTGGTAGAATAAGCGCTTGCCTGGCAAACACAAGGACAAGAGTTCAGAACCCCGGTTCCACCAAAAACAGAAAAAAACAAATTCAGCTTGGTAATGCCATTGCTATACTACATATATGTGTATATGTGTGTAGTTTGTATATGTGTTTATTGTATTTTTCTATGTATATGAAATCCTACAACCAAAATAGGAAAACTATTATTTTCAGTGACCTTTTAGTATTTACCAAAACTAATTAAGTATAAAGACCTAAAGTAAATTTCAGTAAATGCCTGTGTATATATTTCTAAATGATACTTACTCTTGCTAATTTTGAACCTTAGTTTTAAATATTCATATAGGAAAAAAATAAATAAATAAATAAATAAATATTCATATAGGACTGGGAATGTAGCTCAGTGGCATAAGCACCTGCCTGGCAAGTGCAAAGTCCTGAGTTTGATTCCTAGTACCAAATACATATATAAATATTCATATAAATGAATCATATATATTCTATTGTATTTTGCTTTTTTCCTCTGAATATGTTATGTGTATCTGTGGCAGGTTATTTAGAATTGCATTGTGTAAAAATTTGCACTATATTGTCCTATCTATTATATTTCCATTATGATGCTATTACAAATAATGCCACTATAACAATTCTTGGAAATATGTAAAGCTGTGTGTGTATGTGGTGCGTGTGTGTGTGTGTGTGTATGTATTTGGTATACATATAAATATATGAACATTGAAATATCTATCGTATACACCACACTTTGCCTGCCTTTTCATTTTCATCCTACCCGATGCTAGGTCCTGGTGCATCAGCAAAGGGCGTGGTGCTCTGTGCCTGCAGTCTCCGCTCTTGGGAGTCTCAGATAGGAAAGTCACTGCACGTTTGCGGGCAGCCCAGGCAGCATAGTAGATTCAAGGCCAGCTTGAACGACATACTAAGACCCAATCTCAAAAAGCCAAACATATCATTTAAGTTTTAATTTCCATTTCCTTCCTTGATTACTAATTCATATGCTATTATCTATTTGGATTTTTTTGTGAGATACTTTTCTATCAGATTTTCTTTATCTCAGTGGATTTCCATGAATTTGTTATACCTCGGATACAGATTCTCTAGTATTTGTATGACATTTATAATTACCTTGCTCTTGGCTTCTTGAGCTTTTGGAATATTTTCATAATGATTTTTATTTGTGTGTTAGTGATTGAACAGAGGCCAGGGGTGTGCTCGGCAGGAACTCCATCACTTGAGCTTTGTGCCCACGCTGATCCCGATTTCGATATGCAGAAGTCCTTCGTTTTTGGGTAGACTTGCACATCCTCTCCTTGTACTTACAGTGTTTCTTCTTTGCTCAGCCCTCTGCTTTGGGTTGTCACGCTTTTCTCAGTTCCATCTTTCCAAGCCTTCTTGGCCTTCCATAGCTCCCCCAGAAATTCTTCTATGCAGAGCTTCAAATCTGGGCTAAACAAGTCTTCTTACCTCATTCCTGTTTTATATGAATGTCTTTGCAATTAATGGTCTTTTGGGCTTAGGATAAAATTTAGGAGCCATTTTTCAAGTTCCACAAAAATACTTTTGGTATTTTAATTGGGATAATACTGGATTTATAGATTAAGAGAAATTGACATTTTTAACAACATTGAGTCTCCAAATGTACTAGAAGGTTATGTACTTTAGTATTTATTTAGGTCATCTTTAAATATTTTAAAGTATATTTAATGTCTTCATAGAAATATTGCAATTTTTTTTAGTTTTAGTATTTAGTGATACCATAAATGGCCTCTTTCTTAAATGTTGTATTGCTATCATATGTAAAAATGTACTTGATTTTTATATATAGCTATTTTAAATTCAGAGAACTTGCCAAACTATCCTATTAATTCAAATGGCGTATTCAGAGATTTTTTTTAAATTTTTGACATAAACAATCATATCTGCAAATAACAACATTGTTTTTATCTTTTCAGTCTTTTTTCCCCTTTCTCTCTCCTTTATTCCTTGCCTTATATCGGTTAGGATTTCAAGACATTGTTGAATAAAAATGCTGATTGCAGGCATTTCTTTTTCCTGAACTGCAAAGGACAACTTTTTAACTTTTTACTCTTAAGTGTAATTTTGCTGAAGGTTTTGGTAGATGTGCTCTATTATTATTAAAATTTTTTAGTTTGCTGAAAACAATGATGGATTTTATCAGATTCTTTTTTCTGCATCTGTGATTCCATCTTTATTATAATGTATATTATTACATTAATTTATCTTTTCTTGAAGTTTTAAAATTTGCAGCCAGCCTTTCGTTATTGGAACAAACCTACCTGGACCATGATGCATTCCTATATTTAGCTTGCTCAAATACTTTAGAATTTGTATATCTATATTTATAAGACATATTTACTTTTTTTCTCATAGTGTCCTTGTGGGGGATTTATACAATTTGTATTCTACTGTGAATTAGGAAGTATTCTTTCTTTTTCTGTTCTCTGTGGAAATTTGTTGTATCTACAGCTTTCTTGGGTGTTTCGTAAAATTTGCTATCTAACCATCTAAACCTAGAGTTTCATTTCTGGGAAGAGTTCAGTCTCCCTTTTGGTTATAGATATAAGTGACGTTCTATTTCGAGTCAGTTTTGCTATTATATTTTTCTAGGCATTTAATTTAATTCAACCCATATGCATTTACATGACATTGTTCGTACTATATTTTCTTTTTTTAATTTCTGCATCATCTATAGGGATTTCCCTTTCTTTCCTTACATTGGTTATTTATGTCTATTTTGTTTTCTACCATTTTACGAAGATTTTTCAATTTTATTATAATTAAAAAGAAATTTTTTGGGTATGTCTGTTCTGTGTTTTATATTGGTTTTGCATTTCATCAATTTGTGACCGTGTTTTCTTTTTTCTACTTTTTTTTCT